ATTTATTTATTTATTTATTTATTTATTTATTTATTTATTTATTTATTCATTTATTTATTTATCCATCCATCCACCTATCTATCTATTTACTTAGCTATCTATCTATTTACTTATTTACTTATCTATCTATCTATCTATCTATCTATCTATCTATCTATCTATCTATCTATCTATCTATCTATTATGTGTACAATGTTCTGTCTGCATGCCAGAAGAGGGCATCAGATCCCAGTATAGATGGTTGGGAGCCACCATATGGTTGCTGGGAATTGAACTCAGGATCTTTGGAGGAACAGCCAATGCTCTTAACCTCTGAACCAGAATGTTTTTTGTTTCTGTTTTTTTTTTTTTTAAGTTGGGAAAGCTAATAGTGTGTTTGCTTAGGAATGCTTCAGTAGAAAGGAAGCCATAGGAAGGTGTGGGAGAGCAGAGGAAGTCCTCAGGGATGCAGTTGGTCAGTTTTAAAAAGATAGTCTCTGGGAATGGGTGTGAGGAGAGGCTGCAGGGAAGGAGTAGACACAGCTGTGACAGTGGGAATTCTCAGGGAAGCCTTGGAGGAGGAGGGGGAGGAGGAGGAGGTGTGGGAGCAGGTGGTGTCGTGCTGACTGAGCTGCAGGAGGAGAGCATGCTGTGAGAGTGGGTGGGGGCACGCACGCTCTGGGGTGTGGTTCTTGTGTGGAGGAGGGGACCCCCGGAGAGCATGGGAATGGGCATCCCTGGGAGTGTTAACACTGACAGCATTAGTACTCCTCCTAGACGCCACCTCAGCGCCTCTGTGCTAACAGTTCTTAGAGTGGCCTTTGAAGTTTGTCACTTTACCATGTGTCTTTTCTTTTCTTTTTGTAGAAAAACTACGGGCAAGCTGATGAAGATTGTAGGCATGGTATGTTAAAACATGGGGCCTTTTCTGATTTGAAGATTCTAAATCACTAGTTAATTGAGCAAAGTTTTTTGTTTGTTTGTTTTTTGAGACAGGGTTTCTCTGTGTAGCCTTGGCTGTCCTGGACTCACTTTGTAGACCATGTTGGCCTTGAACTCTCAGAGATCTGCCTGCCTCTGCCTTTGCCTTTCAGAGAGCTGGGATTACCGGCGTGCACTGCTGCGCGTGGCTTACTTGAGTGAAGTTTAAGTTTTAATTTTTTTTTTTTTTTAATTTTTCACTTGCCAATTTCAGAAGCAATTATGTTAAAAATCCTATCTTACTGTCCAGTGATTGGGTTGCTGTCTTTCCTGCTGTGACAGGCTTATTATAGCAGCGAGCATGTGGGCATGAATGTTGACATTCCTGCACCCAGGGGCTCTTTAGTGAGTCCTTATAGTCTATGTCGTGTTTAAAAAAATGCAGCACAGGTTGATTAAAATGCTAAACTTAATATGTGAAAAACTATCTGTCTTTTTTTTTTTTTTTTAACAAGTCAGAGTATTTTTTCTTAGAAGAATGGCTGGAATGCTCTGGAGTCTCTTTCCTGTTTCCTTGCAGCCGGAAGTTGAGACCAATAAGATCCACATTCTCTGAATGCTCATTGTGTGGAAACCCTTTTCCTGGCCATTGCAGCATTTCAGTAGAATGAGTCCGGGAGCTTGGGGGTGAAGGGTTCAGTGTGCCTTCGCATGCTTCCCTGCCGGCCTGCTTCACACAGCTCAGTGGCTTGGATCATGTAAATCACGTTTCATTAATCCAGAACTGGGGTTCAGGGTGAAGTATTTCACATGTTGAAAGTTTTTGTTGTTGTTGTTGTTTGTTTGTTTCCTTATTCCTTTGTGTCAAAACTTAAAAAAAAAATTAAGTATTTATTTTACACATTACCAAGCCATGCTACATACTCCTGTGGTGGGTCCATGGACCATTAATTTATACATTAACGGTGAGCGGCCTCTGAACCTTGCGATAGAATTGTCGGGGATTGGGACTAAAATCCGAAATAGAAATATCCCTGTCATCTTTGGACATTTCTAAAAAACAGTAAGCAGACACAATGCTGGAGAGATGCTGTGCTTACTGGGCCTGCCTTTCACTGTACTGAGAAACAGACGCGCCTATATAATACACACTTTTTTTCTTTAGGAAATGATTTTAAAGGGGGCTGGAGATATGCCTGTGAGAGCAAGAGAGCACTTGTTGCTTTCGCAGTGGATCCAGGTTCGGTTCCCAGCATTCACATGGTGGCTCACAAACTTGTGTAACTCTAGTTCTAGGGGATTTAACACCCTCCTCTGACCTCTATGGCTATAGGCACGAATGTGGGGCACATGTATACGTGTAGGCAGAACACTCAATGCACATAAAATAAAGTAAAGTAAAATGCCCTAAGAAACAAACACACGGAATTTGAACTTGCTCATCAGGACGTTGCGCTCGCGCACTGTCGCACGGTTACCTGTGCGTTAGTGTAAATGCAGTGGCTCCAGGTGGTGACAGATACTCCGTCAGGCGGACATCCCGCACACAGGGTGTTGTTTCCCAAGCTGATGAGCCTCCAGCAGGTTCCCGTTTGTTCTTTGTTACTGTAAACCACCTGATAATAAAGATACTCCTGCTCATTGTTGCCTTTATTGTCCCACCTCGTATCAGAGTCGGCCTCCCGGGTTAAGGAGCACGTGTGCTTGATTTGTGTAGACACTGTCGTCTTAGAGTTTGTGCTCCCCCTCTGCAGCGTGTCTGGGTTTGCCTGCACGCTCACGAACTCCCCGAAGCTTTGAAGCGTTGCCTATCTCCTGTGTAAGAATTGTCCTGGCTCTTTGATTTTTGCTTTCCTGGACTTTTGAGAATTGATATAGTCTTCCCACCTGGGAAATGTATATGCAGAGGTCCCAGAAGATTGCATGACTTGTGAAAAAGTCAACTTTCAATTTTCTGTTTTACTTAGCTTTTTCACAAATACATATACATACACACATATACATACATATACATATAAGGCAACATCTCTCTACATAGCCCTGGTTCTCCTGGAACTCACTGTGTAGACCTGGCTTGCCCAGCTACTTAGCATTTTAAAATTAGACACATTTTAAAACAGATGAATTCAATAGCCAGCACACAGGAGGCAGAGGCAAGAGGATCTCCAAGTTCACTGGCGTCTTGGTCTGTAGAGTTTTAGGATAGCCAGGACTACATAGGAAGACCTTGTCTCAGGACAGACAAACAAACCAAAACCCAGATGAATTACCAGGATAAAAGTTGAGCTGTCGGGAAGATGAAGATGTTGTGGTGTGGTGTCACTGTGCTGTCAGTAGAGTGCATGTTGGAGATTGGTTCACCTCTGATCCTCTGCACTCATTTCTGGGATTCTGTCCCAAGTAAATAATACAAATGAAGGAAGAAGTTGTATCCGTACTGGAGTTCACCGCGCTGCTGTGTGTGAAAGTGAGACGTGGTTGGTGCTCACTGAGGAAGATCTTCATTCATAGTCTCTTTCCCTACTCCTTAGATGACATGAAAGAAATTGGAACTGTCCCCTTTTTTTTGAGATGGCGTTTCTCTGTGTTGCCCTGGCAGTCCTAGAACTTGCTCTGTAGACCAGGCTGCCCTTGAGCTCAGGGATCTGCCTGCCTCTAGCTCCAGTGCTGGGATTAAAGTGTGCGCCACCACTGCCTGGTGGAAGTGGTCCTTTATGTGTGCAGATATGTGAGCATTATCCACAGAGACCAGAGGCTGACACTGTGTGTCCTTTATTTTTCTTATTTTGTGGACATGGTATTTCACTGAACTCGGAGCTCATTGGCTTGCAAGGCTGATGGCCAACAGGCTTGTGAAATCCATCTGTCTGCGCTTCTCTCAGTCCACCAGCTCTGTGGTTACAGACTTCGGCTGCACTCGGCTTTTACATGTGTGTTGGGGATCTGAAGTCTTCCTACCCCTACTTATAAAATCTGTCCAAAAACACCTCTACAAAGTTGACCATTTCAAGTAGACGTTATTGGTTAACGTAGACAATATTGGTTAACATTACTCTTGTAGCTTTAGAATTTGATTTTACATGTGCTTTTTCAGTTCTCAGTAATATTATTTAGTGTAAGATAAATGCTGTGGCTAGACAGTCAGTTGACTAACAAGCAGGAGGATGCTCTGAGGATAGGCCTGGAAAGCCGTCGGGAGTGCCCCAGACCAGTGCCTTTCGGCATGCACTTTATACAGTATGATCCTCACCCTTCTGTTGTTGGGTCAGTTTGCATTTTTGGCAACTCGTATGTGGTATGTGTGTGTGTGTGTGACTTTTAAAAATAAACATCTAAAAAAAAATAAACAGCTAATTAGCCAAAGTACATTGAATTTGATACACTATGTTGTGTTGAATACTATTGCCAACAAGCATGTGACAGTGACCTTCAAATTTATAATTCTTGATTTTTTTGAAATATCATAATATCAGTAAACCAAAAAGATATTGTTAGGGCTGGAGAGATTGCTCAGAGGTTAAGAGCACTGGCTGCTCTTCCAAAGGTCCTGAGTTCAATTCTCAGCAACCACATGGTGGCTCACAACCATCTGTAATGAGATCTGGTGCTCTCTTCTGGCATGTAGGCATATATACAGGCAGAATACTATATAACAAATAAATACATCTCAAAACAAACAAAAAAGCAAGTGCTGTCTGTCCATCTGTCCGTCCGTCCGTCCGTCTATCTGTCTTATCTATCTATCGTTGAGTCAGTCTTTGGCTGGCCTGGCACTCCCTAGGAAGCCCAGGCTGGCCTAGAACTCAGAGATCCGAGTGCTTGGATTAGGTGTGTACCACTATGCCTGTCCCTTACAAACACACACACACACACACACACACACACACACACACACACACACACACACTTAACAGAGTTTATAACTTATTTAACAATCTAGGAAGTTTGCAGCCGTCAGCGGTTCTAGTGCAATTTTAAGAGCAATTTGGAATTTGGTAGTCTCTGTGCAACTGTTAGTGTAGCGGACCTTGTGGTAAATGCATGCATACTTTTCAGGGCATGTGCAGAAGGATCTCTCTGTGCTTGACCTCATCCGCTTCATTCTCAGCAATCTGAGCTGGCCCACCTAGCTTGGACTTTACTGTTCCTGATGTTAGTGTGTGTTCTCTTTTTAGACTAAATTCATGACTAAATTTCTCTCAGGAGAAATTGACATACATGGTGTGAGGCCTTCACAGTCACCGTGGGCTTTCTCCTCTCATCCATATGTACTCTAAAATTCGATTTTGATCCCACAGGAACTTTTAGAGTGGTGTGCTGGTGGGTGGGTACACAGTTAGTAACTGGCATCTGGAAGGAGAGTGTGGTGTTCTCCTGAAATAATCCTTACATTTATTTCTTACTCTATCACCGGTTGTGGGGCCTGACTTCCTCCTCAGGCTCAGCTGTGAGTTCCTTTACCTGCTGAGCCATCTTGCTGGCTCAGTGTTTTGAAATATTTTAAAGTAACTATAGCTGGTGAGATAGCTACTTCTGAATGTTGCAGTATGTATCTCTAGAGACACTGAGGCTACTAGTGCATAACCACAATATTTTGTTAATCTAACAGAATTGACAGTGGGTATTTTAAATATTATCTGAGACCTGCTCCATGATCTGAATTACTTGGCTGCTCCTAAGATACCTTTGTAGCTGCTTTGTTTAACTGGAACTCAACAAAGAGTTTTAAAGTCTTCAAGGCAGAATTCAACTTTAGTTAATAGCTTTCGGTACCTCATAAAGATGGGTAAGTACCGTATGTCAGTTAAAAAAAACAAGACATTTAGAAAATAAAGTACATAGACTAGAGTTCATGGCTTTTAGATACAAGCTCAAGGTGCTGCTGGGTTCAGGCTGTGAAGCCAGTGACCACTGGTTAAGTGATATGGTTAAGTCATTATTTGAATGTGAAACAGGATGGGAACACTTTAAAGGAGACGATTC